GGAAAGCCATCACGAAAGGAACATTAAGCGGTGTTATTTTGATAAGGAAAATGGTAAAAAAATTTATTGCCTTCTAAATAGATAAAAATGTGTTTTTGAGCTTATATTTGATAACGACAGGATGTGAAAGCGTTAACAGGTCAACCGCTTGGTGACGGCGAAAATCTGATTGACTTCCATATGAAAGTGACATTGGGATAAAAAAAGACTACGGGTCGTATTGTTCTGTTGGCGGCCAGAGAAGAAGAGAAAGAAAAGAAAGAAAAGAAATAGAAAAAGGAGATAATTTTTTTCTTTGAGGAAGATATTTTTTTTAAAAAATTCACATCCACAATGTTGAACGCCAGAAAGCCAGGCGGAGCTGATCATGTGATGCAGGGGAGGCCTTCTACCACCCATTGAGGGATAGGTATGAGATGTTACTGCGAAGGAGTGGAAAAACGGTTGAGCCTTCTGAGGGTATGAGATGCTGAGAACAGAAGAAGGTGGGAGTAACAGAAGACTTCAAAATGGAAATAATAAATTTTCCTGACCGAAAACAAAAGAAGGGGATTGTGGATTTAGAATTATCAAGGAACCTCAAACCCCGACAAAGCCCACCCCGGTTTGGGTCGGCGTCCATATAAGCAAAGTCGCAGCGAGCGAAAATGAGTTGAGTTGAGTTCCAGATCCAAATCCGGTTGGAATTGGCAATTGGCAGACCGCTTCGCAGATAGCTGACTTGAAAGATTCACGCAATTCCGGACTTATCTTCAATCCAAGAACAATTTATTTTTGAAGAACGACTTAGACTCATACCACCAAAAACAAGTTTTTACGAATATAGCCTGAAGACACACCAAGAACCAGTTTCTAAAGAACAGACAACTTAAGATGTTAAGACTCGCCTAACAAAAAACAACGTGTCACGAATCCATATACGGTTTGGGAGAAAGACGTAGTCCTATATTCAGCAACCAGATATAAAATATTGTTATCCTTTAACACATTTGAACTTTTCGAGTTATTATTTTTTTTCACACATACTTGTGCGATATCACCCTTTATTCAAACTCAGCTTGCATTACGGCCCTTAGCGACTGATTGATTTCGTCTGCCTAGATCAATTCACAACGTGGGTAGGCAGACTGGAAAATCAAAGTAGTTACTTCGGTAACCAGACGTTGGAGGCGAGTTGGAAACGACGAGGCTGATATCGAATCTAACCAGATTCCCATCCGAATCACCAAAAGTTTAGAACGTCACATTCGGGTGCCGCGACCAATACCAAGCCAGTAGGTCGTCACAGGACGGGATAGCACGACTGACGCAGACAGGCGGACGTCACGTTTGGAGGGGCGACACCCACCCGAGCGGCGGGGGACGTCACAGCTAGAACAATTTTGACTGACTAGTGAGTTCGATCCTCACTGGGTACCCCATACTTAGTTACGCTTAGAAAATCGCCATTAATTGTTCTGAGAAGAATAAACTTAAATTTAACGATGTAGCGTCTTCAGCGAGGGCGTAATGAAAAATTGAAATTATTTAGGCGTGTACAACCAAGTATATTAGCATCTCCTTTTAAATTTTTAACATAAAATGATTGTTATAGTAAAATTAAATTCATTATCGACACAGGACCTTACATATAAAAGCACTGTGTCCGATGGTTTGCTCAAAGGCAACTCTCTGTGACGATGGATTTTACTGGCACTTGAATCTGAATTTGCAAGCCAGAGACAGCGACACGCATTTATTCACGCAGTTTCCAGACGAATTCAGCCAATGTTTTTCTCATGTGGCAATAAATATGGATTCGTCTTCAGGCCAGACGTTTTATAATCATTTGTTGGTATTTACGCGTGACTTAGTCTTATTGATTTCTTTCACTTTTACGTTCTTCTTTTCTTTGTTCTGCTTTGTAGATTCTTGCATGGAAACAGTAAGCGATGTTTCTCTGCCTGTGTTTCACATCAGTTTTTCACTTTGTATTATAAATGACTATAAAATACCCATTTTATTAGCGTCATTATTTTGTTTCTTATACATATTATAGTGATATGCGATAAATGCTATAGACTCTCATATATATATATATATATATATATATATATATATATATATATATATATATATTTTTTATAATATACCTTTTATATAGATACTTTTTTTTGAATTGCAGTGATTTTCAAATACAATTTTAGTAAAATATATATATATATATATATATATATATATATATTTAATTTGCAGGTGTGTTTTCAAACTATGGTATCAGACTGTTTTAAAATCTCCTAAATATATATATATATATATATATATATATATAAATATATATATATATATATATAGTGTGTGTGTGTTTGTGTAAAAAACTCCAAACTGATTTTTACCATAGACTTTTTTGAAAAATCCTATATATATAATTTTAAAATATATATAATATATATAGTGAAATGGTATTTTACTACTGTTTGAAAAATCCTGAATTTTAAAATTCCAATTGGTAAAGAAAATTTGCACTATTTAATGAAATTGACCGCTCTTTTGTGAGCCAGTGTTAACATATTTCAAATTCTATTTTGTGTTAAAAGGACTCGACTGGATTATACCAACGGATTACTTATATATATATATATATATATATATATATATATATATGTAAGAAAACTATATATAAATTTTTATATATGAGGAACAAGTGTATAACAAAATTTTATTTATTTTGAATATAACCGAGCCGATTTAATTTAGATTCTTTTTCTTTCCATTATTTTTGTTTTTAGACATCTCACACTGTGATAATAAATGAATGGTGAAAGCTCGTAAAAAATTTTAAAAAAAATTTAAATTCCCAACATCCCCCGTTCGTGCGCATGTGCTTTCTTTTCTGGACAAAGGGTGTGTAAGAACTGTCCGAATGTTTTATATTTCCGAGCGCTTTCGGCTATACCTTTAGCCATTATCAAGGATGATTCGATTCTTCAGTTTAATTGAGTGTCTCTCTGCGTTCTGTATATATATATATATATATATATATATATATATATATATATATATATATTGTCTTGTAAGGAATTAGTATACATATGTACACATACGCATACACACACACATACATATGCATACACACACACACACTTCCATATCTGTATCTAATTAAATCGTCCATTTTCTTTAACAAAAAAAATCAGAAGTTTAATTTTAACACCTTCAAAATAAACATAGAAAAATAAAAATATTCAAAAATTTTTAATAGAGACAAATATTAAATTTTGTATTTTTATTATCAGCACATATTATAAAATTTATCTATTTATAACCGTCCATTTTAACACGACAATAATTACTTAGATAATGTAATACTTGATCATTTTTCATTATTAAATTTTAGAAAGAAATTAATTAATCGGTAACTATAAAAAATCAATTTTCAATTACTATGATTAAGCTGAAGAATGTTTTAGTGTACTAATCGAGGATTATGTATGCACAAATCGAATTTTGGTATATTAAAATTTCAACGCACTAATCGAAAACTCATTAACTGAATGCGCATTAATCGATATATATATATATATATATATATATACATATATATGAAAAAATATAGTTTTAAGGTGTGCTATATTTATGGGATAAAGTGCTCAATATCAGAGATAGAGCGTATGTAAATATAAATATAAAAGCGAACATTGACGTCAACACTTAGAGGCGACAGGCTGTTTCATGCTAGACGCAATCGTCAGGCTGACGAATGAGTCTAGCATGTAACAGCCTGTCACCTCTGACTGTTGACTTCAATGTTCGTATATATATATATATATATATATATATATATATATATATATATATATATATATATCACTTCAACAATTAATTTTAGTGGATAACCGTGTTTGAAATAGACGTCCTGTTTTTTTTTAAACTGTGTGCATTATGTCTACGGACCTGTGCACATGAGAAAACTTAATAAAACAAATTTGCTCTCCGACAGGGTTCGAACCTGTGCATTCCCCACTTTATAGGAGAAACACCCAGTAGGATTATATTTACACTTTGAAGGAATGCATCCATTCTTTCCGATTTTCTCGAAAGGTGATATCTGCTCGATTTCGTATCTGAAACGTAAACAAAGCAATTACTATGAAAGAATTAATGGATTTACTTTTAATCGAATATTTTTATTACATCAAACCTTATTTTCATTGTGTTCCTGTGTTTTAAATAGACATCTCGTATTTTTAAACTGTGTATTACATCTACCGCGCATTTGAGAAAACTTGATAAAGAAAATGAGAGCACATTTATGAGTTATGGAAGAGAATGTTTCGCTACGTGTATGTGTATCATATTTCTGGTTGGGCGTGAGGCGGTTTCTGATACACAAGTACTTTCTCATTTCTCACTACCATCTTCTGAATTTAAACATACACACCGAGGCAGGCACATTTAAACACACACACAAGGCAGGCACAAAAATGCACACTATGCTTTACACACACACACACACACACACACACACACACACACACACACACACACTACACATTAAGACCACAAGACAGAAACAGAGATCTACCTGATCAATGAAAAAAAAGTATGAAGAAGACGTGACTGAAACGTTTTCGGGCAAACCCACACATCGAAATTTAGCAACATGAGCAAACATCAGAATTTTTTTGGAATCGTTTCTTGATGAAATTTCCTTTTCTGCATACCCTTGTATAGAATTTCCAATACTCCCAGACATATCTACGCGCGCGCACACAAACACACACATATATATGTAGTCCGTTTGAAGTTATTATGCAAATACCACCAATCTCTATAACTCAAAATTGCTTTGAACAAATTTTGAAAAAACCTAAACAATGAATTTTAAAAAAACAAAAAAACTTCAGTTAAATTTTATTAAAGTTATTGGGTTGAGTGTGGGATTTTATGTGTATTTTTTCAGCCCTCAGTATTATACATGTAAGTTTGACACCATCGATAAAACCATTATTAGTCTGAAA